CAACGAAAGAGGTCACAGTTCTCCGTGATTCTCCGCAGACACCTGTAGAACTGTCTCTTGTAGTTATATGACTGAAGTGAAGTTAACAGGGAACAATGAAGTACACAGTGACAACACAATCCCCGAGAGGTACTAGAAATCCTCGAACTCATCTTTTATGAATGCTTTAAAGGACATCCCATTAGATGTAGCACAAGTAAAAATTCTTAAAAAAAATAATTAAATATAATTTTATGCAGTTGTGAGGTCTCAGAGAACTCAATAAATCAACCAACGAATCTGTCACTATAAGAAGGCACCAGATCTTATAAAAGAAAAATTTTTGGTTACCTTTAACCCACGTAATACCAAGCTCGTGTGTGTTACATATGCATATCACCAATAAAGACTATTCAGAAGAACCTCAGAAACTGTATTGTCAAAAAAAGAGAGGAACTTGGTTGTCTTTATTAGGATTTCACATGTGACACCAACCAATATCGATAAACTAGTCATCCATAAGAACCCATAAGGTCTAACGTCTCATCATAGACCTCCAAAACCTACAAAAAAAAATGAAATAAATGAAAAAAGAAAAAAAAAAACACTTACAAACAACATAAAAAACTCAAACAATCAATATAAAATACACAAGGAACAAAAATAATCATAAACTACATAAAATACAAATACAATAAACCATGAATCGCTTCAACAACCATTACAATTAATAATATGATGAACTGATCCATTCAACATCCAAAAATGACGTCTGTAATTCACTATCTCAATTCAATCATTTTCCTAACATCTTTGACATCCTGAAAGCAACCCTCATGCGATTCTATTTCTGTCTGTGGTATAAAATGTCCTATGTGATATTCAAATGCTTGAGGCGATATGTGTAAATAATCATCAGTCATGTTGAAATCTACGTCATTGCGCGAATGATGTCATCATATATAGTTGTGGAGAGTCATTGTGACAACTACAATCCGCACCTGTTTCGAAAATGAATATATCGGCATATGATCCATTTTTTTCTCTCACACTCCAAATGTTCTTTCAATTACACCGCGTAAAGACGAGTGTCTCTTCTTAAACATTTTTTTCTACCCTGAGCAACATTACTGGATCTTTCAAAGTCAAGAATGTGATATTTAGTATCCGGAAATGATTTCAGATACCCCTTTGTGATATCCAGCGTCGATCAAATAATATTTTTCTGTTGCAAATATAATAATTAGTAATAAGCTTGAAAATATCAAAATATGATAAATAGTTGAACAAACCTAGAGGTGGGTGCGAAGAGTTATGCTTTCGATTTCTTGTGGCAAAAGAGAATATACGGCTATCATGTGTACTGTCATCCCAACCAGTCATAATAAAAGTAAAACACATGTTGAAATCATACATAACCATCACATTTTGTGTTGGTGATTCACACCCCCAATGAATGTGACTTTTTCATTATTTAACACATGTATCCATGTGTGTTCCATCAATCACACCAAAACAATTCTAACAGATTAAATAAGCTTGTGTGACTTGCACTATTCATTTTGACTTCTAAATATAATAAGTAAAAAGATTTAACTTAAAAAATGACATATAAAGTCTTCTCAAATGTTGGATCCTCTGACATGATAATCTTTATTAAAGCCCTCTCAAATGTTGGATCTTATGGCATGATAATCTTTGATGACAAACTAATAGGAGCTTTCAATCCTATTGAAAAGTATCTTCTGATTCTCTGATAAATGTTGAAATCGATCAATCACTCCTCTCATTGATTCATTTTGTAACAAAATGTAGAGGGTAATTGCTAACACATCTCTGATTGTCATTCTAGAGGACCCATGAAGTTCATGATTCCCATGTAATTCATCTAGAATATCTATATACGAAACATGTTGCTGAGTCTTGCAGGATGTCCTTCAAGTAGGTCCCAAACCCATTTATCACCAATGTAAGATGATGCTATGCAGGGAGACCATCTACCTAGAAGTTGTAGTACTCTTACATCAAATATATTGCTGCCACAATTCTCCTTTTGCGTCTCTCTTTTCGTGAATTCATGTTAAACAAGTGTTCTGTTCATGTAAGACATGTGAATCAAACAACTTTAGTAAACTTCAAATAACGAATTACAAAGTCTACGATGAAAAAACAAACATCCAAAATAGCATTAACAATATTTCAAGGAAAAGGAAAAATATCCAAATAAAAAATCTGATGAGCTTATTGGAAAATAAATACAAATAGTGTAAAAACAACTGAATAAAATCAAGAGTCCCTGCTGTCGTAAAAAAACATAAATAATTGACCCTACAGATAGGGCTCTTCTTCATGAAGAATTCTTTATGGGTCGGGTCTTCCAACAACTTCATGAAGTTCAAATATAACAACATGTCCTCATAAATTTCTAGAGTTGCCTCCAGAACTCGAATAACTTCTTTGATGGAGGTCGCTTGTGAAGTCCCGGGGTCATTGGTGCATGAAGCCACCAGTTTTGATATTTGACTTCAGATGAAAGTAGCCCCTTCTTTTTTCTTTACGTCTACACTTGGACGCTTTAACCTGCATGTGAACTCCACTTCATTTTGGTTTAGACTTGGGCCTTCACCGGAGTCAGTTGCTTGCTCGGCATCCAAGTTCTCAGATATGTCTGCAAGCCCTTGTTCACTAAAAGTACAAGCATTAGTCCTCGTTGCCACGACCCCATCAAACTTATGATCCAACTTTTCTTCCAGATCTGGGTCAATACCACTGAAGTTGAATTTCTTGACGGCTGGCATTACCTGCAATATAAGGGGACGTGGATATGCTCATACAGTTCAGGAAAAGAAAGCCAGGAACAGAAAGTCATACATGGATGTGTTCTCACCTCCATTCTCTCAGCCCACCGTCGAAGCATCAATAGTTCGTTTGATTAAATCCCAACCCAAACCCGTGGATCTTCGTTTTAATTCCTTGCACATTTTTCAGTTATTTTTCAACTGATCCCACTTATTTTTTAGTCGCATCATATCGTATTCTCTAACCGTCATTTCCTTGAACTTTTTCATAATATTTTGCAACCATTACTAGTTAAAATAGACAGTGGGTCTATTTCTCAGTTCGTCGTAAAATATGAGTTTGACTTCCTCATCCCACATAGCTAATGAACCGACTTCTTTTGTCTTAAATATTGTGTTACTAGCATAAGAAAAACTAAACATAAATATTTGACAGAAAAGTAATTAGCACAAATCATAACCACACACCAACACCTCCAGACTAACACCTCCATACCAACACAACCACACACCAACAACTCTACACAACACAGCAACACACCAAAACTTCCACACAGCCATACACCACCGCCACCTCTACACCAACACAACCACACACCAACACCTCCACACAACACAACCACACACAACTACAGAGCAACATTTCCACATTTCCACACGCCACCAAGAACACTTCCACAAACACAACCATACACCAACACTTCAACACCTCCACAAACACGACCACACACTAACACTTCCACACCTCCATACCAACACCTCCACACCTCCACACAACACACAACCACACACAACCACACACAACGCACAACCACAACCAAAACACAAGCAAACACAACTACACAACCTCCACACAACACACAACCACACAACACAACCCCACACAACCATGACCAACATCATTGTGCAACATCACAGTAATCACCACCATCACAGCACAAATATTCGACCAACCACTACTTTCACAGGACAAAATTTTAGATCAACCCATCACACAAGGTCAGTAAAGGGAAATAAATCTTCTTTATCATCACAGTAACCACCAACATCATAACACAAATAATGCTTTCACCAAAATCACAGAACAACCCATCACAACATTAATACTAAAGAAAGTCGTAAAAACCAAAATTAGAGACCCCGCAAAATCCAACGCCAGTGCACAACCACCCGAAAATCTTCTTCATCATCACTGTAACCACCAACATCACAACACAATTAATGCTCTCACCAAATTCACAGAACAAGCCATCACAAAACCACCAATAAAGAAAATACAGAACTTTCAAAATCCAACACCAGTGCACAACCACCTGAAAATCATCAACCGAATAGAGCTCAGAGAAGCTAAAATAATCGTAAAATCAAAATTTCAAAATAGATGATGGTAGAGAATATCATGGGCGGGGAAGAGCAAAAGAACCAAATGAAGCCTAAGAACTGCGGGAATAGGAAGAGGAGAAGACAAACAAACCCTTGTCAACGCAACCACGAATCAGAGAGGAGGAGGAGAGTCGTGATGTTAACTTTAGGGCAAAATTGAGACACGAGAGCGAAAAGCTCACAAGAGAGGGGAGAGCGAGACACCTCGGGGTCGGGCGGTAAAAAACCGAACATTAAGAAAAAACAAAACACGGGTCGCAGGGTCAAACCTGCATTTTATCAAAATTTGCTAGAACCAACGCCGCGACACACTTTCCAAACGCACCCCTTCGTGTTTACACACTGCGACACTTTTGAAACTCACCCCTTCGTGTTTTCGCACCATGGCGTGCAAGAAATGCTGCGCAAAACGGGGCCTCAATTCTAAACACTGAAACAAACACATCCTTAATTTCTCTTTTGTGATTGCTTTTGCACGGTTGAATAAATTAAATATAAGTGTGTATAAGTAAATATCTTTGAACGTCACAACATTAAGATTTTGGTCATAACATTTAACACACTTGGTATTAGTCCATTCACATTTAATACATTTCATTCCACCTACAGTTGAGCACATCGTTTGTGTAATTAAATTTATGATTCATGAAGTCATAGTTATAAATGTATAGCTAAGAACTGGAACAAGTTTAACCACCCTAAGAAAGTATTCTAAAGCTTAAAGATAATTCATTAATCTTCTATGATAAATCTATAGCAACAAAATTAAAATTTTCAAACTAAACCTAACCTCGAAAACAAAATATCAGGGCACGGGAAGAAGAAAGAAGGGTACATCACCTGGTGAGAAAGGCTCTGGATCTCGCTAGGGCTCATGAGATCGGAGAACTCGAGATCAAGAACGACCTTTTGCCCAACCAAAGCTGCCTTTCGTAGCCTCTCAGCACGCTTACTGCGCTCCTCCGTCCTCTTCTCCATTCGGTCCCGCCTCGTCTCCTTCCGCGACTCCACGAGTCGCATCCTTTCCTCCTCCGTTTTGTTGGTGAGCTTCTCCTCCCATTCGCGGCGGCGGCGCTCTAGATCTCGCCGCCTTCGCTCCTTCTCCGCTGCTTTCCGCTCAGCCTTCCTTGCCTGAAGCCGCTGTTGCTTAAGTAATCGCTTCATCGCGCTTTTCGACATGGAAGGGGTTTCTCCAGCGTCTTCGACAGTGTTGCTGCCGGCTGTGAGGGGTTTGTTATCTTCCCTGGTTTCTAACATTGTGGTTGGCGGCGCAGGGGGACGGAGATGTCAGAAGATGGGAGTCTGGCAGGGGTTTGTAGCAATCGGACGTAGTGCTATCAAAACGGCTCTTTGTTCATCAACAATTTACATTCGGCTCGCAAGTGTGGAAATATTTTCGCTCATTCATTAATTCCACGATACCCCAATAATAACTTATAAACATCATTAAAATAAACCCAAAATAACAACTCAATAATCATTCAATAACCCCTAATAACTTCATAACGGAAATTATTAAGACGTTATTAGGCATGCAGTGCGTGTGTATTCGGTATGAAAATATTTCCCCTTGCAAGAAGTTCATCTTATACAAATTTATTTAATTGTACTCATGTTTTAACTTGAAATAATATATATATATATATATATAAACAACA